GGGAAAAGTGATTTCATGCTTTATTCCCTGTTCTTCATAAAATTTATTAAATTCATTGGAAGAATATTCACCTCCACCATCAGTTCATAGCATCTTTAATAAGATGACCACTTTGCTTTTCAACATGCACCTTGAATTTCTTAAAGCAATCGAAAACTTTAGATTTTCTTTGCAACAAATAGACCCAAATCTTCTGAGTAAAATCATCAATGAAGATGAGGAAGTACCTATTATAGCCATTTGACGTTGTATTCATTGGGCCACACACATCAGAATGGACAAGCTCAAGTGGTTGAGTTGCTCGCTGTTGTTGTTTTGCTGCAAAAGGCATTCTATGATGCTTCCCAAGAATGCAGGCTTCACACAACTGATCAGGATTATGTATACTAGGCAGGCCTTTTACCATTTGTCCTTGAGCAAGCAATTTTAAACTTTAGAAATTTAGATGTCCAAACCACAAGTGCCAAAGCCAAGATTCATCTTTTATAATTGCATTGAGACAATTATAAGCTCCACCAGAAATATCAACTAGAAACATACGATTTTTGCTCAAAGGGGCCTTAAGAATAAGCGTACCTTGCTTATCTAGAATGGAGAACTGATGATCACACAGGCTCATAACATATAGCTTTTCAAGCAATTGGCCCACACTAAGCAAATTACTCTTCATGCCTGGAACATAGAACACATCTGAAATGTACTTGTGATCTCCATTCTTCAAGTTGATGAGAATTCTTCCTTTTCCAGTTACTGGTATAGTTCTATCATCAGAAAATTTCACTTTTGTGCGAAAGGACTCATCAAGATCAACAAATAGCTCCCTTTTGCCACTCATGTGATCGGTACATCAATGTCAAGGAACCATGTGTAATAGTTTGGTGTTTCACCAATAGCAGTGACCATCAAGTGAGCATGGCTACTGTCCGCATCATCATCTCTTTATAAACAATGAGCCTTTTGAGTATTATCATTGTATCTGCACTCACTAGAATAATGGCCATATTTATGACAATTGTAACATTCAACATTGGATTTGTCATACCTTCCTCTGCCATGGCCACGGCCTCTTGAATTTTGCTGATAGCTAAAGTTTGATTTTTCTTGGTCATTGCCTCCTACTCCATAATTGTTGTTATGACCACCACGACCTTTGTTGAAGTAGAAACCACGTCCTCGTCCTCGTCTTTTTCCATGAGAACCACCATGCTTTTGACTGGTTTCACCACCTTGATCACCTTTGATAGAGACTTTGCTTTGGAAGGCTTGCTCAATCGGTTTCTCTATCTGCTTCCCATTCATTCTTTGCTCATGTGCTTCTAATGAGCCTGACAACTCATCAACAATCATCTGGGACAAATCGTGGGCTTCTTCTATTGCTGCCATAATGGGCTCAAATTTTGGTGTGAGTGTTCGCAAGATTTTCTCCACTTTACCCTGCTCGTTGTACTCTTCTCCATATACTTTACTTTTGTTCGTCAAAGCAAGAACTCGATTGATATAAGTGGCAACAGTTTCAAAAGACTCCATTTGTAGGAGCTCATATTGACATCTTAAGGTTTGGAGCTTTACCTTGTTGACTTTCTCCGCACCTTTGTATGTTGTCATCAGGGTATCCCATGCTTGCTTTGATGTAGCTGCATCGTCAATCTTCTCAAACACTTCATCATTCGCCCCTTGATGGATGAAATATAATGCCTTCTTGTCCTTTTTCTTACTCTCACGGTAGGCATGCTTTTGGTCATCATTAGCATTTTTTGCGATTCAAGCAACTCCATTCTCCACGACACTTAGCAATTTGTGGTAATCAAAAAGCACCCTCATTTGCACACACCACCGGTTGTAATTTTTGCCATCCAAAATAGGAACTGAAATCTGAACAAGACCATTCATTGCGCCTGCTCTGATACCACTGATAAAGGAAGAGAAGAAAATGCAGCAATAAGAGGAGTTTTTAAACTGAAAAATACTGATATGAACTAATATTTTATTTCACTGATAACAACCTTTATATAGGCAGAAGACATCAACAATACAATCAAATAAATAGCAACTAAATCGTAAAAACAAGGCTACATGGCTAACATGCACACTGACATGTAATCCCAGCTAGCTACCCAAGAGGGGGGATGAATTGGGTCTTATTAATTCCTAAGATATAAAACTCATTTCTTTTCTTTTATAAAAACGTGAATGAAGTTTTCAATATATATATAATCTATTGTGCAAAATACAACAAAGATCAACTGCAATCTTGCAAATAAAGTGCAAAAAAACGAAAAGAAAGGGAAGAGTATTTGAGCCACAATTCCATGGGTGGAGACCTCCCATCTAAAATAGGAAATATGAAGAATCTATTTATTTTAGATCTTAGTGCTAACAATTTCACTGGTCCTATTCCTTCCACTCTAGTTCATTTAACCTATTTGACCAACTTTTACCTTGATTCAAATCATTTGAAAGGGTCAATATCAAGCTGTGATTTATAGTGGTTCCTCCAACCTGGAGTACGTCCACTCCCCAAGCCTCCTTGCTTGAGAGTTTAATCCACTAGAAATCTCTTGCTTACGGGTGCAAGATTAAACCGGAACAAACCCTTACTTGCAGGTGCAAGATTAAACCCTCACAAGTGAATCTCAACTCACTCAACCCCTTCAAGGATTATCCCAATCCAAGAAGAATACAAAACCCTTGTAAGACAATTAACCCAAAAGCTCACAAGAAGAAGAAGAAGAACATCCAGAACAGTTTCAAAAACAAACTCTGTTTTTCTGTATCACTGGAGCAGTTCGTTCTTCTATGTTCAGATCTAATTTTTTATGTTCTTTTAATAGTTGGTTGGGAGCCTTGCAATTAAAGCCCATTTAGCCCTTCAAAGCCACCTCACAATTGCCCCAATTAGATTCCACCTTTGAAGGCTTAGTTACACCATATTTGGTGGTGGCCAGAAAATTGGTGGCTGAAAAACTACAGTAGTCTTATTTGCTTCATATTTCCTGGACAGCAAATGATACAAGTTGAATTAATGCTGTAATTTTTCTCATGTCCTAATCCTAAATATGAAGATAGACACTAATCAGTATACTCTTTTATTCAATATATTACACAATAAATTCATTAAAAGTTATTATTTGTCAATTTGAAATTAAAAGTAGACAAATTTAAACATACAGTCATACATACAAAATATAAAAATTAGTTAAATTAATTATATTTATATTATAATTTAAAAATTAAATTAAAAAAATATTAAAAAAATGTGTTAAACCAAAAGATATATTAATCATTTTTCATACGTGGATTGAACAATCGATTTTCCATCAACTCGCTTGTGGCTTTTATATTTCTTTGTCTATATGACGCTTATTATCATAGATTTGCTTGTGTATATTATATTCATTTATTAATGAATTTATGGTTATTTGATAGAAAATAATTATTTTGTTACCAAACTTATA